GTTTTTGAGTTTGAGTTTGAGTTTCACTTTGGTCCAAATCCGAGTCTGTAGCTTTGCCCTGGGTCTGTAAACTCTTACATATGGTTTAGTCATTGTCGGTAGAACTGGATTCTAATTCAGATATGGAGATTATTTGATATATAGGGTCTTGTTTAATTTTGAACCCTTGATTCAAGCATAATAAGCCCACTCGATAACATATCCATATACAAATGAATTGCCAATTGTTTCTCTTGGGCAATTCATTTGTGTAAACCTAATTGTCATCAAAGTTCAAGTCATTGCATTTCTGGCAGGCAGTTTCTCAAACAATAACCAAAGGCAGAGGCTGATTATTTGCTTAGATCAATTACAACATGTAAACATATTTGTGCTATGATCAAATACAGAGTAGAGCTGCTAAATTTCCCTTACATTTGCATCCGCAATCAAAGTAATCTCTTCAGATTCTGAAGCACTTGATGCACAGGGACTTCGATTGTCCCCACCAACTTCATCTGCAGGAATTTGTTGTGGGTATAAGAAAGGCCTTGGAGGCATTTGGAGGCTCTCAATTTCTCCTTCAAGCATCTCCACTACTTTATTCATTGAAGGGCGTTCGATAGGCTTCATTTGTATGCACCATAAAGCCACCATCATCATCTTCTTTATGATCTTCTTTTCCTCATCTGTTGCATCATCTCCTATTTCTATGTTCTTTCCTGCCTTCAACTGATCAGAAACCCATGTGGGAAAGTAGATTTGGCTAAATTGGCTCGATTGTTCTATACCCGCATTCAGGTTCTTCCTTCTACCAGCCATTTCCATCAATAGCATTCCGAAACTATACACATCAGCTTTGTACGAAACACCTCCAATGTTTTTGTAGAACAATTCTGGAGCAATGTATCCCATGGTTCCTCTTGCTGCAGTCAAAGATACAATGCTATTATCCAATGGGTATAGCTTTGCTAACCCAAAATCAGAGACCTTGGGAGTAAAATTCTCGTCTAGAAGAATGTTGTGAGGCTTGATGTCAAAGTGCAAAATTTGCATGTCACAGCCTCGATGGAGGTAATCAATACCACGAGCCACCCCAAGTGCGATTTCAAATGTTTTCTGGCAACTTAAAGACACATCTCCTTGTTGAGAAAAAATGTATTTCTCAAGAGACCCATTAGACATGAAATCATATACTAGAGCACGTTTTGAACCATCAACACAAAAGCCAATAAGTCGCACCACGTTAACATGGCGAATCCTTCCAATGGTACCAACTTCATTAATAAAGTCTTGCCCTTTAGTTTTGGACTTACCCAACATCTTGATGGCTACAAGGCGACCACTGCGGAGCTTTGCCTTGTATACAGAGCCATAGCCTCCTTCCCCCAATTTGTCCTTGAAACCTCTAGCCATCTTTTTGATGTCCGAGTAAGAGTACCTTATTGGCATGAGGTTATTATTACTCCGTAGAAAGTCTTCTATATTCTCATACATCGACAAGTGCCTCCTTCGCCATTTATATATTAGCAGTGCAGTTACAAGGGGAAAACCAAATGTAAATTTGGCTGCCAGGTATATTGCTGCATGGTTCGCAAAAGTGGAATTAATGAACACGAAGTATAATAATAATATACTCCTTTGCAAATCCATCTCAATCAAAATAAGAATATTAATGTTCCAGTGATCCACACAAGTATTCTCTTACCTAGGGAAGCGACTGCACATCCCAGAAGCTGGCCAAGGTATAATCCGGATGCATGCATAGGGAAACGCCGTTCAAAGTGGAAGAGCGCATATATTTTCTCAAGCCCGGGTCCTGCAACAGAAGTAAAGAAATCAATCGATCAATGGAATGACTAAGGTGGTTAGTCAAGCGAAAAGGCCAAAGAAAAGTAAACGTCTATTTACAGAGTTGAGGGATCCACTCGCCTATTTTATCGATTATCTTCATTATGATCTCGTCGTACCAAGGGAGTACTACATTGAAAAGAAAGAAGACAGTAACATTAGCATGAAGAGAATTCTGGTTAGACCAACATAAATTATACAGTCATAGTCATCGAAAAGAAAACTGTAATTATAGAAATTGAAAGAAAACGGTAAAGTTAGCTCAATTAACTTTTGATATAATACAGTCATAGTCATCGAAAGAATTCAGATTAGACCAACATAAACTACGTATTAAAGGAAATAACATTATCCATTCTGGACGTGAATTGATATCGTCGAAAATGCGTCGGTATGTTTTCAAAAATAATTTATCCACACAACTAGAGCAATCTATTTTGTAATCCACCTATGAAACCAGCCTTGAAAATATGCTAAATCAGAAGTATCATTAAGACACATTTAATTGGTGGAGTGAATAGATTGCTTGATCGGATGATAATCGTATGTTCTAATTTGTTCCTCAAATAGTTTTGTTTGACCTTTAAATAATCCAACCCCAACCAATTAATATTTCGTGAATGGAATTCCTGGTGCTGGTTTGGGTTAGGCAATTGTTTTAGCACTCGCGAGGATACAGCTCTTCATTATGAACTAAGTCTATAGATCATGCTTCAGCTTCTTTAACTGAATATATAATAGATAATTTTCAGGTTTGGCAAGTCTAACCTCTTGTTGATGAGCACTTGATAGTAGTGCCGTTTTTGTCGCATTCAAGAGACCATGAGAGTTCAAAGCCATGCGCTATTTCATTATATATTCCTTTGCAGGACGTCATGTTGTCCTCAGTTGAAGGGAACACCGTAACCATTAGTGTTATTTGGCAGGTCTTCCCCAAACTCTCTGCCGTATTGTGGCCGCTACGTCCAACCATGAAATAAGAATAGGTTCTTAAACTGGACAAAGAAGAATTAGAAGAAGAATAGCTGCTGATCCCATTGATGCATGGAGCTGTTTCAACAATGATAGCAGAAGAATTCATTGGATTTTCACAGCTCAGGAAAATTATAGGCACCGGTAACGATGATGGATTTAATTCATTATGAAGGATGTATGGAAAAAATTTATAAGAAAAGTTGAATCTGGTCAACGAATAGTGTGGGTGCGAGAAGTAGTTGTCACTGATCTTGAAAACACCAGCATCCACAAGTCGGATTGTTAAGTTATTGTAATCGATTTCATGTACATAATACTTTCCTGAAAACAAGTATAGTACTGCATGATGAGTAAGACCATTTCCATTTGCCTCGCAAGATAGCTCGTAACGTTCGATGCCACAGTCTTTAGAGTCTCCTTTCAATCGGAATGGATAGCTTATGTTAATATTTCCACAAGAACGGGTACAATCAGAGATATTATCTTTATTAGCTGTAAGGGAAGTTGTTTGAGAACAAGAGGAAGGAAGAAGAAGAAGAAGAAGAGGGTGAATGAGGAACGCAGCAGATAGGAAACTTAGTCTAGACATGATGAGGGAGAGATTTTCAATTTGGTACTGTATTACCATCTAAAGAGATAACTGGACATTCATCAATCTAATTTTGACATGATTTATAATAGTTACATGATCCGCCCGCCATTGAATACCAGTCATGACATGATGACTTTGACCCGCTGATTAGCCAGCCACACATATTACAAAGAAAGTAGCATTATTACAAAACATGTCAAATCACTTTATATATAACATTAAAAGTAAAACTAGGCATTAAGATCATATTTTATCAGATTATGCACTCAAAAATCAGCCCAAACTCCATGTAATATCATCTTCAAGAATACTTGTGCTGTGCGGTGCAATTCAATTTATTTGCTGAGAAATGGTTATCATCATGAATTTCCTATGGTGGTTGCTTATGATGGTAGTAAGAGTAGTAGATGCAGTCAATGGTGGAGTAGGCCTTGAAGATTGCAGGGGAACCGGGATGGGGCCGGGAAGGCCCAGCCATCCGATTCCCATTTCGACTTAAAGGTAGACAGCCAATCCATTGTGGTTTCCTGGGCTTTGATCTTTCATGCACTGACGGCGATCAAAGAATGCTGCTGGAGGCGCCATTTTTACCTAATAAGCTCGTTGTTTCTCAGATTAACTACACATCTCACGAAATTGAAGCAGCACCTGATGATGGTTGCTGGCCGAGGGAGGTTTTTTACAGTAATGGTTCTTTTCCCTTTGAATTCCTTGGCCGCGCAACCTTATTCAGTTGTCCACCGTCATCAGTAAGAGGAGATGATTATAGTGATATGTGTATGGTGAGATTGAGCCCTTGCCATGGCAACAACCCTGGCAACCATATTTTTGCCGTCAGTAGTCATAAGGAATATTGTATGATTGATGAAATGCCCCTAGTGTCTTGTACCAAGATAGATGACTACACATTAGATCCTGCAGATACATCAGATTTTCCTCTTCGTCAACTGATGAAGCTGCGTTGGTCCATACCAGTATGTGAACATTGTTTAGAGATGGGCAAGACATGTGGATTCAAGATGAATGAATTCACACATCAGACTACTGACCAAGCTGAATGTTTAGATGTGTCCAGAGGTATCATTTACGCTCCAAATTTACTTTCCCATTTCAAGATTTATTGAAGATTCTATATATGCAAAATAAAATTCTGCATTTCATTGATTGGAAAAGCCTAGCCACTATTTCATAATCTACTTTTACAGGACGTAATCTTGGAAGAAGGACAACCCTGAAGATGTTAGGTGAGCTACCCGCAGGCTTTCTTTTCTTTTCTTTTTGCCCTTTTTCTTTTTTTATGAACTGAAAGGGGAGGAAATTAAGGGAATGTTTGGAAGAGCTTTTAAAATGTTTAAAAGTGTTTTTGACAACGTTTGACATAAAACGTTAGAAGTGAGTCTAGCTTATAATAAAATAACTTGAGTGCTTTTCTAGAAAACATTAAAAAATTTAGTACAAAAAACTTGACGTGCATAATAAAAGCGCTTCTAGAGAAAGCAGTTATAAGTGTTTTCGAGATAAGTATTTTTAGTTCTTTGCTCTCTAGCTAGAAATTGTGGGTTCTTAACACAAGATAATATTTGCAGGTATTTCCGCACTCTGTTTAGTTCTAATAGCGATGGGGACGACAATCTGCTATGCCTACAACTCAAACAAAAAGGAAAAAGAAAATCAGCTTAGAATTGAAAGATTTTTGGATGAATACAGAGCGATGAAGCCAAGTAGATATTCCTATGCTGATATTAAGAGGATAACAAGTCAATTCAAGGAAAAGTTGGGTCAAGGTGCCTACGGAACAGTGTTCAAAGGAAAGCTTTCCTCTGAGTTACTTGTTGCTGTGAAAATCCTCAACAATTCAAATGAAAATGGGGAAGATTTCATAAACGAAGTGGGGACAATGTGTCAAATCCACCATGTCAATGTGGTTCGCTTGGTTGGAATTTGCGCCGACGGATTTATTCATGCTCTTGTTTACGAATACTTACCAAATGGTTCTTTGCAAAATTTCTTATCATCAGCAGATAATAAGAATTCATTCATTGGTTGGGATAAGTTGCAAGATATCGCTCTAGGAATAGCTAAAGGAATTGAATATCTTCACCAAGGATGCGACCAACGAATCCTGCACTTTGATATCAAACCACAAAATGTATTGCTAGACCAAGATTTCACTCCAAAAGTTTCTGATTTTGGTTTAGCCAAGTTTTGTGCTAAGGATCAAAGTGCAATATCGATGACTACAGCTAGGGGGACCATGGGCTACATTGCACCTGAAATCTTCTCAAGGAACTTCGGCAATGTCTCCTATAAGTCGGATGTCTATAGTTTTGGAATATTGTTGCTTGAAATGGTTGGAGGCAGAAAAAACTTCAAAGTCATGGAGGACTCCACTAGTCAAGTCTACTTCCCAGAATGGATCTATAACCTTTTAGAGCAAGGCAACGACCTACGAATCCATATCGGTGATGACGAAGGAGATGTCACAATTGCTAGGAAACTCGCAATTGTGGGTCTGTGGTGCATCCAATGGCATCCAATAGATCGTCCTTCAATGAAGGTTGTAGTTCAAATGCTGGAAAGAGAAGGTGAGAATCTAGCAATGCCTCCTAATCCTTTTGCCAGCACTTCGAGTTGAAGGAGAATATAATATGAACAGACCTCTACGCTGAAGAAGCAGCTGTGTTTGCATGGATTACACCACTCCCTTATGAGATGAGTCTTCGAGTGTTCTTATAATAAGATTGTTATGGTATTGTCGTGTGTTAAGCAGATAGTACTAGTTAATTAAGAAACTGGTTTGAGTTCAATAAAGTTCAATGTAAAGTATTAATTAGATAGCAATAATTCATCGAACTTGCAGTACATGTTATAATTGAGACCACAGTACAAAATCCGATATTTTTTTTGGGGCTCCGAAATTTTAGCACACTTCCAAGTATATATCGTCATTTTATCGATATTTTCGTCGATAATTTTGAGGAGATTTCGAAGAAGATATTTTCGTCTAATTCGCAGTTTAAATGGTCATAATATCGCGATATTATCAATAATATCGAGATATGAACTTTCAAAAATGAAAATATCGAAGACCCAGAAAACAATCGAATCAACCCCGGATCGTGAGCCTAAACAAGACCAAAACGACACCCAAATTTCCCAAAACCAAACCCTATTCGTAAAACAGATGCCGATTTGAGATCAGCAGAGAAACCCCAGATCATATAAATAATGACAAAACAACAACAATAATTACAGAGAATGGGATGAGAAAGGCAAATACCAGGAGATTGTGAGCTTGTATTTGACAGAATCAGAGACTTCGTGAGGGGCTGAGAAGGGTAAAATTCCGAAATATATTTTGTATTTTTATCAGTGTTTTCAAAGGCATGCGTAGGCGCGTATCGGAGCGCGCCACGTAGCAAGGCGGCAGCAAATCGCCTCAAGGCGTCGTTTGTTTAGCATTCTACACGTTTTGCGTACATAATGACAGTGGGGCGGCGAAAAGCGAAGCAACGCGGTCGCTAAGGCGTCTGAGGCGCTAAGGTTTTCATGAAGAAGAAGATCAGATCTGACCTAACTTCTTTCACTAAACGACACCGTTGCCTCTTTTGTTTTTTTATTTATTCTGATACGCCTCTTTTGGTCCCTTTTGAATGAAACTCATCGTTTTATTCAAGTTTTGCTTTTTCAAAAGCAAGTAGTGCCATTATAAAGCCCAACAAAAAAAAAGCCCTTAATAATAAGAGTATGGGTTATTAATGTCCACTTAATAACATATTTAAGACTTTTTTTCTTTTCAAAATAATATTGATTCATAGGTTATGTTAAATAAATTTTTACAATGATTAATATTGGGCTCAAGTAATCTGTATTTTTATATTCACTCTATAAAATAATATATGCTCGAAAAGCTTACGCTTCAATGCCTCAAGGCTTACGCCTTGCCTTGTGGGACAAAAAATGTCTTGCCTGTACGACTCGCCTTTCAAAACATTTTCAATGTCTCAAGGCTTACGCCTTGCCTTGTGGGACAAAAAATGTCTTGCCTGTACGACTCGCCTTTCAAAACATTGATTTTTATATATAAAAAGATAAGAAATAAGAAAAAGGAAAAAGCTTTGTTTCTAGAATTTTCTATCTTTATAGGGTTTAGCCTCTTAGTCACCACGCTAGCCATCACTTTATGATTAGTATCTATCGAATCTGGTATTTATAACTCTTCCAAGTTATTTCTCTAAATATAAAATAATTACTTATTATTCTATATTGTTGATCAAATATTTAATTACTTAATATAATTTATTTCTTTCCTATTTAATCAATTTAATGTTATTGCTTATTTTATTATTCATTATAAGTACTTACATTACTAAATTTCCCTTCAAATTGTTGCTTAATTACTTAAATCTCTATAATCATTTTCTTTATTTCCTATTTAATTCTTCTTTGGATAACTTTATTTATGTTCTTAGTTAATTTTCAATCTTCACTATTATTTTTTAAGAATGGTAAAGTGCTTAATTTTCATGACAAATCAAGTTGGTTTACATCTTTAATTATTTTTCAATTTTTGATAAATAATAAATATAAGAATGTGTACCATGTCATGATGTCCAATGAATAACGTGAAATAAAGTTACTCATGGGCTCGTTTGGGAGTGCTTTTGAAATTGCTAAAAGCGCTTCTAAATGGGTAAAAGCACTTCTATCTTTTAAAAATTATGTTTGGCAGAAATTGTAAAAGCGCTTTGGGTGGGATTCAAAAGCACTTGAAGTGGTTTTTTAAGAAGCACTTGAGAAATGCTTCTTCATAGAAGTGTTGCCAAGTGAATACACGGGAAGCACTTGGCTCCCTTTAATGAAAATTTCAAAACACCAAAAATAACCCTATGTAATTTTCTGAAACGCCAAAATACCCTCATCTGTTCTATCGCTCGCTTCGCATCAGACTCCATCATGTTATTTCTCTCTCTTGGCCTCATGGTTTCTTTCCGGGTAGAAGATCTGACTATCAATTAAAGGCCATGGCCATCCTTGCTTCTCCTGCAGATCGTAATCTAATCATTAAAAACCATTTGGGTATTCTTCGTTTTTGGATTTCCTTATCTGAGTTATCTAATTGGATATGTTCTTCAATGATTTTTTATTATTTGGATGAAACTGGATCTTCTTTGCCTTGAAGTCCTTTTCATGTTTTTGAATTTTTTATTTAGTGTGTACGAATTGAAGTCTTTTTTCATGGTTTTGATTGATTTTTTTTGTTTTTTGAAATTTGGGTCAATCTGTATTGATTTGTTCGTTTGCAAACTATCTGGAATTAATGCAGCCAAAAGGGTGTTCATAACAAGCTGGAAAGCTGGAAACGTATTGTTTTTAAAATAATTTTTCAGTTTTGGGTTAAGAAACTGAAGTGCCATTGTTTTATACTATTTTCTGAAAATTGTATATGGAAATATTTTTGGAAACTAGAGCCTAAGAAATGCTTTGTAAGTGGGGTATGTGTTCTCAAACCAATTCTTTAGGAATAAGGAGATTTGCTATACTAGTTGTCATTATATTCTCAAACCAAGCGTTTGGAAACTCCTGACCCAACCAAGAAGATAAAACAATGGAATTGGTGGAATTGAACAAAGCATTCTCAAATTGCATGGTCAAACATTCAATTATTTATCTGATATGTGATTCTAAGGTTAGTTGTTTTTTCAATGTAGCATTATGATAATCAATATAGGTCTACTGATTTTAACAATGCTGCAAATCCCAACCCTGTGACCCCATTGTTACCGATTTCATAGATCCATCTCTATGTTATCTCCTTAATTAACTACTAAGGATTTGGTCTTTTGCAGGGATCCATCTCTATATAATTTTTATTTCCTATGTTTATTATAGTTTTTTGGGATTCTTTAAATTATTTTAAAGTACTTTTAAAAACGCTTTTACTGTGTTAGCCAAACACTCAACAAAATATCAAAAGCGCTTTTATGTAGTGTAAAAGCACTTTTAAATGTGATATCCAAACAACAAACTGCTTCTTTGTAGAAGCGCTTATGTCATAAGTGCTATGGGCATAAGCGCTAATGGTATAAGCGCTTCGGGAAGAAACACTCCCAAACGAGCCCTTATTCATGTATCTTACCATGCAACTTATAAAGTGTAAAAATATTGTAGTAAAAATGATAAATAAATTACTAGAGGGTGTTTAATTTTCTTTCATTAATTACTTTAGATTTTCTAAGTCACAGAGTTTGTCAACTCGCAATATAATCAACTTAAATCACTCAAACATGTTATGCAATGCATTGCCTTCCAATCTTTTGTGTTAAAATAATAGATGATTGACTAAATAAAATTTTTACAAAGTTTCATTAAAAATTTCCATTATTTATCACAATTTCCGTGGTTTTTATTCAATTTTTATCGATATCGATATTTTCCCGATATTTCCATCGATATTTCCGTATTTTTGAACCACCGATATTTCCGAAACCCTCGATGTTTAAGACCTTGATTGAGACTAAGATAGTGTCTTTTTTCTATATATTCATATATAATTGTGTATTTTTGAATTATAGAAAGGAAAAAAAGGGTGACCCATGAAGCCATGCACCAAGGTGAATAAAATTGTTAGTATATATATATATATATATATTCATACAAACACTTATGAAGGAAGAAGAATTGAATATTGATCATCCAGGGTACAAACTCCTTGTAATATTAATTTTTCTTCAATGTGTAAGTGTAATATTTAGATGAGAGTATGCCAATATTTCCTATGAACCCCTCTACTTAATTATTATTTTTAAGTTTTTATCCAAAATCTCCAACCTCTTATTATCAAGTTATTACAACATTAGCCATTACTTTATACCCACTCAACAATGTCATCTTACAAAAAGTTACTCAAATAAATAGATGAACTCAATACTTCTTATAAACAATGATGACCTAAAAATTGAACGATTCAAATCATGTCATGACATTGTGAAGTAAACTGAAATAGATATTTAGCCCCTTAGTATTTGAATGGTGGTGTTGTTTAGATATCCAAATAAATTATTCTTGGTCCACTACCACCAACATGACAATAAACTAGTCCAAAAGGTGCAGAAGAGTCCACGTATTGTGCTCAAAACTTCAAACACAACTGTTATACTGCATGAGAGGGTACTTGTCTACTATTTTCTGTATACATGCTGAAACAACGAGAGACTTGGACCATTTAGTTGGCCTGAAATCTTCATTTTTCAAGTCATGAATTAAAAATCAACCTTATAAAAAGTTACCAAATTTGAAAAAATTCAGGCATGTAATTGCGATAAAAAATAATAGACGAACACAATACTTCCTATAAATAATGAAAAAACATTCATGATAATAATTAAATGAATAAACGATTTTCAATTTGAGTAATTTTTTACTTATTAGCCCACAAATTGGATTAAGCATGTAGCACTTGAGTTTATAAATATCTCCAAATAAATGATTCTTGGTCCACTCCCATCAACATGACAATAAATTAGTCTATGTATTGTTTTCAAGGGAATAGACCATTCTCTCCACTAAACTCAAAGGTGCAAAACATACCAAGCTAGTACTGTGCTCAAAACTGTTGACTGATATTCAAACACAGCTGTTATGAGAGGTACTTAT